AACATCAGAATCCAATATGCTTTGCTCCCACGCCTGAAGGAACTAGAAGCCTAAAATTCAATGCTTTGCCAGCTATGAAACAAAATTATGTTTCGCATTTAGGTCAAAAAGGGCCAATCAGGTGAACTGGTTGTTTTCTAGCACGGTGAACGGTTTCGCCTTTTGGGCTGCTAGTGTCAAATCAGGAATCAGGGGATGCCTTATGGATGGAAAGATCTAGGACTGGAATATCATCTATCTTCTTATTACCACCTTCCCATCTCCAGATGTCATCTAACGTTTTTTTCTGGATGATCATAATATGCAAGTCCATACGAAGCTCTCTTAGCTTATCTCGGAACGGAATTACATCAATTTATAGAGGAAGATGGACAATCCAATCTGAAGCAAATCCATCCACCCAAATACTCCCACACAACTAACTTCCTCTGAACTTAGTTGGATTAAAATTTAATAGCCATCAACAGGAAATTACTTGGAACTGTTAGATATCTAAGAAATAGAAGTAGAATAAGCTTAACTGTTAGATGTCTAAGAATAGAAGTAGCATGTTCCATGACAACTTCTCACAAAGCAATGTCGTATAGAACCATGTGCAGAAAATGATGGGCTGGCAATGTAAAAGTTCCATCAGAAAACAATTTGGGCTTTTAACAGTTATCAACAAACTAATGAAAACCCAAGTCAAGGTCACAGTTCCAAATTGGCAAGTGTAAGCGTCCTTTCTTCTTTATTAGGAATTGAAAATGGCCATAAGAATCCAGACTTAACAAGGAGAAACAAGGGAAATTGCTCAGTGCTGGAATACTGTAACGTGCACATACCTGGAGAGTCAATGCACTGGTATGCTTGGTAACCAAGAAATTGGTCAAGTTGACAAAGTATGCAAGGGCTGAATTCAGAAGCAAATACCAGATGATTTTGATGTCACTTCTCGCGAGAGCTACTGTGATTGAAACTACATTTTGCTCCATCAGGATTGTCGCAGGGAGTAGGATGAAAACAGCTATTGGAGCCATATAGAGCAGAAGGTTCATGGAGTTCAGCTTTTCTCTGAGAATGTCAACAATAAATAAGACCGAAAGAAATCATGAAGGATACGTAGCGCTCATGAAATATGCAACAGAAATGAATTAGTACCCCTCTGATGACAACAAAATCCCTTGAAGAACTGATTTTAATGCTCTTGCAGCCGTAGCACCAACACACATTACGAATCCAAAGAGATGGAAGCTTGGTTCACTCTGCAGCAGAGTACTGGAAGTGAATCAGGACAAAGTTTCATGGGAAAAAAGAGGAAAAAAAAAAGCCTTTTAGAATGTAGAAGCAATAAATCATCATCTCATGTCACAGTATCGACCAGTTGGAGGATGTGAAGGATGATAGACAATTATGGACACAAGGCACACTAATAAAGAGTTAAAGGAGTAAAAGAAAAATGAAAACAGAACCTTGACTGAGTCCAAAAGCAATGACAACCAAAAAGAAGGCTATCAATTTACTTCAGTTGAAGTGAATAGCAAATTTTCGACATCAAATCGCTACTACTACAAGGTCTTCTAGAAGTTAACAATATGACCATTTCCACAGAGGGTCGTCATAAGATATGACAATAAATAAAGGATTTGAGGACCGCAAGCATAATCTAGATTGACTTGGAAGTCGCAGCTTCAAAAGGAGTGACCCTCATATAGCTACATGGTGCCATTACCATTTGTACAAGCTAGAACATTTGATTACAAACAAAGCACATTAAACTTTTCTTATTCATCAAAACAAGCAAATAAATGAACTTTTCTTGAACAAGCAGACAACCAAACTGAAATAGATGATATGCATTCATGAAAATGGGTAAGTATTCGCTCATCCAAGAACAGCACAATAATAATAATAATAATAATAATAATCATCATCATCATCATCATCATCATCATCTAGGCACAAACAAAGAAAAGCAATAGTCGGATTACTCCATGCTGAATCAAACTGATGGTGTATCAATAAATATGTCAACGAACATTCCACAATTTCCAATAATAAACAGTTACGATTTTCTACTTTTCGCATCGTTAAAGTGCCAAAGGGTGTATATAAGACCTGAGATTCGTTTAAAGCCAGGTTTTTCCCCATTTCTGCGAAATATAACATACGATGGACATGCCACAAAGCAACGAAAGGAAAAGAAAACGAATCATTTCTGAATAGCTTGTTTAGCCAAAAATCCTACACGCACAAGCTAAAAATCCAGATTTTGCTACTTTGAATTAGTCCAGACAATATATTTAAATATGCCATGATAGGGATGAAAAACAAAATAAAATTTTCTTCAACGTCTCTTTCCAAAAAATTGAAATTCACCAAAGCTAAAAATCTTTTTATGTTTAAAAAGAAAAAAAAAAACCAAAGGCTGAAATAGCATCCAAAAATCTTTACCCCACTAGCAATGACTACTCCGGCAACAACAGGAACAAGAGTGACGTAAGTAACCCAAGCCTCCCTTTTCCAAGTCATCAAATATGCAAAGAAGGCCGTGAAAAAGGGCGTGGTAGCCCCAACGGCCTGCGTGAAAGACACCGGAAGGTAGCGCAAGGAAACGTTCCCACTGACCACCGACCCACAAAAAATTAGACCCAGTGCCGAAATCTTCAAGAACTGAAGGCGGGAGCGTATGGTCTGCAAAGGCACCATTTTGAACCAGACGATGGCTATGTAACTGAAGAGAGAGCAGGCTATCATGTGGCACATGGTGAGAAAGACTGGGTACTTGAAGCCGTAGTTGCTTAGCAAGTACTTGTTGAGGAGCAAGACTCCAATATTGGAGGCGTACCACGCCGACACGAGCCCAATTGTGAACCACCGCTTCTGGCTCTGGCTCTGGCTCGAGCCCTTCATGGCTTGTTGTTTTACTTCTACTTCTGGGAATTTAATTTTGACGGCTGTCGGCGAACATGGATTTCTCTGGACAGGAGGGAAAACGCGTGTAAACTAGACCGCCGATTGGGCAGAGGGGGCCGCTGCCTGCTGGGGAGTGAATAGTGATGTTGCTTCAGGATTAAAACCCCCACCGACGGACCTAACGGTAACGCAGGTGGAGGTCCAGCTCCAGCAATGCTGGCTGATTGATTCTGACTCGGTTTTTTTATTTTTTTAAGTATACTCTCACTAGCCACTTCTGGTTAGCTTTTTAGGTGTTAGTTTTTTAGAACAATACTTAGTTAATATACTTCCGGTGTTAAAAAATATTTATCTTTTAACACAGGCTAAAAACGCATGCACCAGACAAAAATAATATATCTTCTTAAAAAAATGTCTCGTTTGGATTGGATATTTCTGAATTTTTTTTAGAAAAAAATATTATAACGATTTGATATATGTGATTAGTAAAAAGGTGAGTGAAAAATGTATTTACGAAAAACGCAACAAATTTGGGAAAAAAAGGTGATTGATATTGAAAAATTGCTGTCCAAACAAGGCCTAATTAGTGTACTTATACACGGACAAAATTGATTTATAAAACAAAATTATATAATGGTACATCAACTCGGGTAAAAAAATATATTGACTTTTTTTTTTGTTTAAACGAAAGGTTTTAAACTTGTGATCACTTACTTAAAATCTTTTCTAATCTTATCATTCAACGTAATTCTCTCCCAACTTGGGTGCGAAAAATATAACGGGCATGCAAATGCACAAAATTTCGTTGTATTGGTATGGAGTAGAATCTTGCTTAAGGGCCATGATTATTTGACTTTGAAATATTTTCACACGACGGTAGATTCGGAGTGGTTTGTTCGTTAAGCAACACTTGTATCCTGAGTAATACATAGAATTGGGGAATTTACGCGAGGTCAGCATTGAAATTAACGTGCTGTTTTATTCCCAATCAAAGACATAATAATGGACTTAACTTGTGACGGAGTATAAACTAACTGCGTTTAAGAAAGCATAACAGAGAGTTAAGGGACTGGCGGTAAGCTAACCGCTGGAATGAGGCTGATAATGCGTCCGATTGCGATTACGACCTTTTTTTGTCCTTTTTTTTTTTTTCTCCTTATCAGAAATTTAGCTTCATATTTTGGGAGGGAGCTGCAAATTGCGAATTTAAGATTAAGCTATTAGGTGGAGTGACAGGGACGGGGCAGCAGAGGGGGATATTAATTAAGTATTAAGAGAAGAGAAGACGACAATCAAACCTAATCCAACAAACTCAACCAAAAAGGTTCAGAAATGAATGCATTAGTTTGTTGACTTCATGCTACACGTCGAAGGCTTGTAAATTGCCTTTTACTATTGAGCTTTTAGAAGCCAGGCAATTGTCCGGCTAATCTCAAAATAGATTTTACGTTACAACTACCTCTACAAAACGTCAGGAAAAAAAGGACCTAAACAGGTTAAAGAAAAACTCGATGAACCATTACCGGACTAATTTTATAATAGATTCTATACTACAACTACTTTTGCTCTACTCCTCCTATGCATTCGCTGGCGAAATATTTTTAGGAAAATTTGGAAATATTTCTTGACCTACTACACTCGGATAGAACTTTAAAACTCTCTTAGTGACCAACCACTCCTAAAAGAGTTGGTTTTATTTGATTAACTATCTACACTACATTAAAACTAAAGAGATACATTTTTTTAGTCTATTTTGATTTAAAAAAAAAAAAAAAAAAAGAACTGCACTACATTAAAACGAAATTTCGGTGCCCAAAAAGGGAAAAAAAAAACCCCCCACAAAGAGATGCACCTTTTTAGTCTATTTTAAACTAACTAGGAGGCATAAACCGCGCTGTGCGCGGAGGTAAAAAAGATGAACATGCCCAGTTTAGTAAAATGATTTGTACTTAATCCAAAATGAATATGCTCTCAAAATAGTGAAAACATTTATATTAATATAATTTTTGGACTTTTAATATAGATAATATCTCAAATCTTCCTAATTCGTATGAGAACTCAAATGTTCCAAAAGTAGGAAAATCACGAAGAGATGGATACAAATTTCAGCTAACAATATAAAAATCAATAATCACCATGCGGTGGTACACTTTCCTAGTTTACATAAACTGACTAAAAATAAATTCTGAAGCTAAAACACCAGGAGCAAAATTTTCCATGCGGTGATCCCATTATGATAAAGAATCAGTAAATCAGAAGTCACCGTTAGACATTCATAATAGTGTGCTCTACAATGGTAGTGAAAAGGGAGAAAAAAATAGAAAAAAGTTCTGGGTACAAAAGTCTGCCAACAGCAGTCTCATTATCTACTCCTATGCCTTGCTAACTTCAGTTGTGCTTTGGTCTGGGAAAGGTTGCATTCTCACAAATGGGTTTCTAATCAACGTTTCCCCTCTCAGAACAGCAACATACCTGTCATTTGTATGCTCTTTCCTCTGCAACTCCCCAAGGAATTCTCCCAGCCTCTCTTTATTCACTTTCCCCATTATCTAATTTGACAAGTACAAGCAAACAAAAGTTTGATCAGTAATCCTCACCCTAAGAATAAGTGACTTGAAAACATTCGTGCAAATAGATCCACAATCCAACAAGAAATTCAAGGAAACTGCCCAATAGCAATTTAGCAAGTGTAAATACCTTAAGAACCATAAAATCCTAATAAGACAACATTTTCCTTTCTTCGGTGGTTGAAATCAGCCAACTAAAAGTATCAACAAACATACTCATAGTTTTATTTATGCTTAGAATAACTAATGTTGTTAGGATGATCTTCACTTCACACACAGCTGAAATGTTGGTACATCTGTTTAAAGATGTACTTTACTTCATAGTTTTATACTTAGATATATATATATAAATGGATGGTTTCTGGTTTTTTCCTTTCTTTTTTTCAATTGAGCTTCTAACTTGGGAAGACTGTGGAAAGAGAAAAAGGAAAACGCTGATATATCAGGATCGGTTTAGTAGTGACTTACAGAAATATTAGCAAGTAAAGCAACAAGTTCCATGTACATAAATGGACATACAAGATTTTCTGATTTCTAATTTATTGATGCAATGGAGATACATCTAATAATCATGACCCAGAATTGGTTTCTCTAATGAGAATTATTAGAAACAAAAAAAAAGGGGATCTTGTGATTAAAAGACTGCAATTAGAACTAAGACATGACAATAACTTATCTAGATTTCTCGAGAGAATTAAAACCAATGTTCCTAATTAAATTTGATTATCGTTTTCAATTTCATTCATTTCAAATGCATCCTAGAATTGGTTATACCATCTTGATTGATTGGGCAAGTCCATCAATATATCTAGGAGCAGTACAGTTGATTCCAACAGCAACAACTCGATCACATAAATCAGCAATTGCAGTACAATTTGATATAGGACCCCCACTAACTACATTGATCCCATCCTTAGAATTGAAAGAAAACCAGGTCGGAACTTTTATGTTTTCTTTCTCAAGAATCTCAGTATATTCCTATATCAAGAAGCAATCAGGCAAAATAGACAGTAAAACATCTAAATTGCTCTAGCAAAAGAAATGTTTGAGGTACACTGAGATAGTCACAACTCAAAAAACAATACCATAGCATCCAATTTGTTTGAAATTGTCTCAAATGCAAGCAGGTCAGCACCAGAGTCGGCAAGAACTTGAACTCTTCTTCTATGGAAATCTTTCAAAGTCTCCAGAGTCACTGTATCCCCATATATGCCACTGCAATGCATGAGAATATCGCAAGTGCTCGAGAGGAAAAGTTTCTAGCACAAGTTCAAATATTTCAAGTCAGTATTTGGGCACTGAAATACTACTCTGCTTCCAATGTAAGAAAAGAATTAAAAGATTCACCTATATTCAGAACCATCAGCAAGATTAGCTCCATAGCCTCCAACAGAAGCAGCAACAAGGAGTGGACGTTTAAAGCTTTTGGATCTCCAATAACATCCCAAGAACCTTTGCTGGCTTTATCATAATATATATCCCGTACATCACATGCTATTTCAACAATTTTCCTGAGTAAAGCTTCACCTTCTTCTCTTGATATCCCTTTAGCTACAAATCCTTGAAGAGTGGCCTGTCTTCCAAACAAGAAAAATCAAGAGTCCTCAACTTCGTGAAAAATTCTTTCAATAATAATTAAACAAGATCCTTAGGAAGGCTTGGAAAAATTAAAAAAGACAGCCATATAACCTGATATGATACAGATATTATGATATTAGCACCAACTTCATGGTAATCAAGGTGTACCTGTCACGTGAAACAAACAATAAAGAATAAAACAAGAAAACCACATGGCTAAGGTGCTAATATTTAATCGCAGTTACAAGAATAAGGCCAAATTCATACAACTTTTTAAGCTGGCTACTTTGGCCATCCTTAAAATTATGCTGAATAGTTTCTTTGTCATCACTGGTAGCAATTCTGGGTTAGTAATAGACTACAGAGCCCAAAAACAGAATTAAAACCACATGAGAAGCAAATTAAAAACTAACCTGTCTTTTAATCGTAGCCTTCAGTGCTATCATAACCTGAAATAATCCATTGTAGATAGACCTTTCGGTAAGGGAAAAATTGAAATAGAAGAAAGAATTAAAGAAATAGTGAGGGTTAGTTATAGACTACTGAGGCAAAACAAAAAAAAAACCCACATAAGAAGCAAATTAATAACTAACCTGTTTCTTAATTGTAGCCTTCAGTGCTATCACAACTTGAAATAATCCATTGTAGATTTTAACCAATATAGAAAACATTAAAAAAAAAAAAAGATTGATCTTTTGCCCCTTGAGATATCACAGCACAATTCTTCGTTGTGATATCTTAAGGTGAAGTAAATTTCTAATCTTCATAAGTAATATGGATTGGATTTTAACAACTTCATGGATTATTCAACACTTTTACCAAAATATAGTTTAACGTAAATCTATCAAACTTGTTAACATGGATTACACTTATGGACCACAAAATTCAAGCCAGCTAACCAATAACATTACCTTCTTCACTGTTCACAAACTGAGCAAGGCTTCTGCAGATTGTGCACCTTCATACCTGAGAATAAAAATCAATTCATGAGGAATACAATTATATGAACTCAAGGCAGAGCAAGCGAGAGTTTCATGAGAATCTGGTTAATTAAAAAAGAACAAGCAATAATGCCAAGTCGCCATTTACATAATGAAGAAGCATATTAATCACTGATGTAGAGATATTCTTACTGCATTCTATAATCACCAAAAAATTTTGGAGGGTCTACTTTACAAATGTAGGTAGATACATGGCTAACGAAAAAGAAACACACCAAAAATAATCAAAAAAAGTACAATGCTATCAACATGGCTAACGAAGAAAAATAACCAAATCAGGAAAACAATGGCAGAAAGAAATGCACACCAAAAGCAAAAGCAGAAAAATAAACCAGCGACCACAAGCATGAGCATTCAACAACTTTGCAAATCAAAAAATCAAAAGCATACAGGAATTGCAAGACACAGACCAAAAAAAAACTTCTTTACAGATCAAGAGGGAAAAAACAGATCTAACCCAAAAAAAAATCCACCACCACCAAGTGAATGAAAATAAAAAGTCATAATTTGTCTCATAAGACCTGATGTTCTCTATGTTGACAGAAAGATAGAAGCAAAATTAGATAAATAAGATTAATGGACTACATAAGTTTCCAATTTTTAAAGAATATTGTAGGAGGACAAAACTTCTTTCTTCTTGTAACTAAATCACAAAGATACTTACAGAACGAAAAGCTTCAAAGTAAAATAAAGAAAAGCAAAACCCAAAAAATACAAAAAACAGAACATAAAAGATGTTTGCTCCAAGGAATGAAACTTCAAGCATCATTTGCACTTGGTATGAAAAATTGTTATTCTAATCTTTACAAATTGTAGCCTCACATATGATCTGATGCAAAACTTATTCTTTCCAAAATTGACTTATGATCTGAATGTAAAACTTATTACTCTAAATATGATCTGAATGCAAAACTTACAAATTGTACAGTACAACGGCATTAGTAATGCAATCACAAACTGATTAGTAAAAGGCATTACAGAAAGGAAAAAAATTTCCAACAGCACCGACGAAAAAGTATCATAAGCCTGATAACAACTCAAAAAAATGAGCAAACACGACACAAGAAAAAGGTGCAATAGCTGCAACACAAACAAAAAACTTTTAATGGAAAACAACCACCAAAGAAATCACAAACCAGTTTCCTAAAAGCAATGAAAAAAATGCTTGCACAACAAAATACGACAACCATTAGTATCAAACAAGTTTTTACAGAGGAGGAGAAAAACAGGAATGCAGAGCAAATCTAAGGTAGGAAGACAAAATATGTATTCTAGCAGGAAATCCAAGTCCCGGGGATTTCTTTATTTTTTTTTGCCTTTTTAGGGTGGAATCCTAGAACTAAAAATAACCCAAATAGCACATGAAACAAGCACAAAAAAGCTTAAAAGAAAGGAAAACAAAAAAAAAATCTAGGAGGGAAAAAATGCCATAGCAGAAAGGATTTTACCGGGTAAAAATAAAAAAAAAATTCCAAGGGGTAAAAATCAATACAAACAGCCATGAAACAAGCACAAAGAACAGCTGAGAAGTGTAAAAAACAGCAACACCACAATTGCTCAAACATGGAAGGAAAATAAACAAAAATAGAGAGAAAATAACAAAATAATGAAGGTAGTACCTTAATGGATAGAAGATGCTTCAGTGCTTGTAGTTCTTTCTCAGACGAAAAATAAGAGTGCATAAATTGAAAGCTCCACAGATCTACACTCTAGTTGCATTCTAGATAAAACAAGACAAAACATCAATGTAACCAAAGTTTTAATAGAAAAGAAAGCGAAAAAAAATCACCAATGAAGGGAAAGTAGCGGAAAAACCAAGGTAGTACCTGAAACAATAGAGAGGAAGCAGCAGTTGACGCTTCACTTCTAGTTCTATCTGAGACTGAAAAATAAGTCAAGAAATCAAAAGCAAGACAAAAAACAGCAGTCTCCCAACCAAGGAGCCAAGAAACGGAAAAAAAAAGATCAGTGGAAAAGACCACCGTGGAGTTACATATTTTGTGTATGGCCGACTATGGTAGCCGCGATTTCGTTTACCAGGTTTGAAGCTACAAATAATTTTTGAAAAGAAATATGCAGCTCTCATGGTATCAGCCGATCAATCGGGCAAAAAAAATTAAAGAAAAAAGAAAAACAATAAAAAGGTGAAAGTAATATTTAAGAATGAAATCAAAGAATGAGAAGGAAAGAAGGAGGAGAGATAATAAAGATTTTGAGAGCAACAAGCAGAGGGAAAGATCTGACCAATGAGCGGCGGTGAGAAGAAGAGGAGAAGGGAGGAGAAAACAGCTTCAATCCATCTACAATAGGAGAAAAGAAAGAAGAGAGGAAGACGAGATAGAAAAGAAGAAAAGACAAATGCAGGAGAAAGGAGAAGAGAAAACAAAGTCGAGGAGACGGAGCTTCTGAGAATAGGGTGAGGCAAAGCGGCGGCGGCGGAGGAATTTAAGAAACCCTAGAGAGGAAGTATATGCAGGACTTCTGGCGCATAGCGCGGGAAAAAAATGGCTGGTAACTCACATGTGCGGCACGTGAGAGGACGACGAAAACCATCCACGTCAGAAGAGCTCTTCGGCTCTTATTCTACTTATGTTGAAAAGACCACCGTGGAGTTACATATTTTGTGTATGGCCGACTATGGTAGCCGCGATTTCGTTTACCAGGTTTGAAGCTACAAATAATTTTTGAAAAGAAATATGCAGCTCTCATGGTATCAGCCGATCAATCGGGCAAAAAAAATTAAAGAAAAAAGAAAAACAATAAAAAGGTGAAAGTAATATTTAAGAATGAAATCAAAGAATGAGAAGGAAAGAAGGAGGAGAGATAATAAAGATTTTGAGAGCAACAAGCAGAGGGAAAGATCTGACCAATGAGCGGCGGTGAGAAGAAGAGGAGAAGGGAGGAGAAAACAGCTTCAATCCATCTACAATAGGAGAAAAGAAAGAAGAGAGGAAGACGAGATAGAAAAGAAGAAAAGACAAATGCAGGAGAAAGGAGAAGAGAAAACAAAGTCGAGGAGACGGAGCTTCTGAGAATAGGGTGAGGCAAAGCGGCGGCGGCGGAGGAATTTAAGAAACCCTAGAGAGGAAGTATATGCAGGACTTCTGGCGCATAGCGCGGGAAAAAAATGGCTGGTAACTCACATGTGCGGCACGTGAGAGGACGACGAAAACCATCCACGTCAGAAGAGCTCTTCGGCTCTTATTCTACTTATGTTGAAGAAAAAAATACAATAAATAAATCATAACTCGGGAAAGATGACCAACAAATATATCCTGCCTTGCAATCGCCAATCGCAAACGAGGAATTGGTGGTGAGAGCATGATGACGCCAAACCTAGGAAAGTTTCAGAATGATTAAGGCTCAGTTTGAGTTTTGAGATGGCCGCAACGCCTCTGCTGAGTCTGCTCACATTAAAGTGGGCCTTAAACCGTTCGTCTTCTTAAGCGTTGTTACATTGGACATTTTTTCTTTCAAGCTACTATCCATCATCTTTGTGAGGATGAGCTCCATCGGATTTTATACAATAGTTCAAATTGTCTTGGAAATGATTATCCAGCTTTTGGTTGGAATACAATCAATGCAAGCAAAACATTAATCACATGATTCATAATTGGTTGTTTGGATTGTCATTCTCTGATGAAAATAGTTGAGTTTTTTTTTTATATAAAATATTTCCTTAACATATTTTTTAATCAACTTTTAAATCTCACACGTCGTATTTCAGAAAATATTCTTTCCATCTTCATCTTAGATTGCCTAAATAGTAGGATGTCAAATTTTTTTAAAAAATTTTTTACACTGCATCATGATGTCTTAGGCTATTTGTAATCTCAATTAATATTTGAATATATTTTTTATAATAATTAATTTTTCTTGTATTTAAAAATATTTTTTCCCTTTATACTAGGAAAAAATGTTTTAAGATATCTTATTCTATGACTTTTGAATAATTGTGCAAGAATTTATTTTGAATCTTATCAAAATTGAAAATAGATTTAAAGTAAATTATAATTGTTTGACTTCATGTAATTTATGTTTTATGTTGCTAATTATATTGCTAGTAAATGCAAACTTTTAAATTAAAAATTTATGTATTAAAATGATTCAAGTATTACAATTGAAGATTTTTTTATATCAATTCTCATTTATTTTTGAAGTAAAAATATCAAAATTTCATGTAAATAGACAAATACTGCTATTATGCTTATTTTAGATTGCAAGATTCCACAAAAAGATTTGAAATTCATTCAAAACACTCTAGATGTTTGGTGTTCTTAGAGGAAATTTGAATTTATAATTCATTAATTATCAAAGTACTTTTTAAATGCTACAATAATTTGTGATTTATAAATTTAAATACTTCCTAAGTAATCTTAACAATTAAAACAATTTGACAAGGTTTCAAATCCTGTATCAAAATCTTCGATCTAAAGGCAACTTTATAGAACAAATAAAAAAAGCAATAAGGCATATTATGTCCTACAAACTAATTCAAAGCAATTAAATCAAATTTGTACTTATATCTGAATATTCATTATATTATACCAAATATGGTATATTGGAAACTTTTTTTTTTTTTTTTTAGAAAAAAGCTATATTAGAAACTAGATAAACATTTACTTGTGTACCAGATGCTGGAATAAAAATTGGGATAATTGCAGAAACCTCCCTTGAGGTTTCTGACATTTGCACTGACGTCCTCTGTGGCTTAAAAAATTACACTAACCTCCCCTGAGGTTACTAATCATTTGCAAATTTAGTCCAAACGATTAAAATATTATTTTAGGGAGTGAAATTAGAATTTTGTACCATATTTGCTATTTGTGCTCCATGTCTAATGAATGACAAAGTACTATAAATCAATTAACAATTAATAAACTTTAAGAAATATAATTTATGAGCAAACACGCATTATTCATTTAAAATACCGGTTCTTTACGAATATTTTACTTTCAAACATTTAATTTGTGATAAATATATCAATATTTGAAAGTAAAATTTAAAAAGTGTTACAGTAATATTTTTGCAAAAAGGATATCGGTAGGCTATTTATTTAATATAAATTAAATATTAAAAAAAGAAATGACCCATAAAGTATTAATTCTTTATGACTTCCATCTATTACATGAGTAAAGTATTGGCTCTTTATAGGCATTTTATTCTGAATCATTTAATTTATGTTAAATACATAAATGTTTGTAACTAAAATTGAAAAAGTGCTATATTAATATTTTTACGGAAGAAAGATTGGTAGGTTTTGTATTTAACAAAAATTAAATATTTGAAAGTAAATACAAATCTGTATTTGAGCGTAAATATTTGTATTAAAATAAATGTTTGAAAGTAAAATACCCGTAAAGAATTGGTACTTTAAATAGTTACCAGCTCTTTATGAGCAAACACGCATTACTCATTTAAAGTACCGGTTTTTTACGGGTATTTTACTTTCAAACATTTAATTTATGATAAATATATCAATGTTTGTAAGTAAAATTCAAAAAGTGTTACAGTAATATTCTTGCAAAAAGGAAATCGGTAGGTTATTTATTTAATATAAATTAAATATTAAAAAAATGAAATGGTCCATAAAATATTAATTCTTTATGGCTTTCATCTATTACATGAGTAAAGTATTGGCTCTTTATAGGCATTTTATTCTGAATCATTTAATTTATGTTAAATACATAAATGTTGGTAACTAAAATTGAAAAAGTGTTATATTAATATTTTTACGGAAGAGAGATTGGTAGTTTTGTATTTAACAAAAATTAAATATTTGAAACGGGGATCAGGGTAATGTTGTGCAGAATGGAACTTGTGAGGTACCCGTACCCCGACGAGGAGGAGACCGGAAGAGGAGAGGATAACCTCAAAAAATTGTCGCGACGTTGCTGACATGACAGCCCTACAGCACAGGGGGAAATAGCGCGATGCTGTCGTGACAAGGAAACTTTCCTTGTCGATTAAGATTTCAGTTGGACTCATCTAACATTTTACTATTTTAAGAACCGATTACAATTGTTTTCCAAATTCAGAGTCATCGTCCGTCGCTGCTCTCTCTCTCTCTCCACTCACAAGAACTGCTGCGCAGCTGGCAGGAAAGTCAGCAAGCCATCCAAGATGGAGGAGCCTTTGTTATCATCAGGTACCAATCAATAAATTAAGGGTTTTACACTTCCAATTCAGTTGTCTCACTTTTTCCATTTTTTTTCTCTGCTTTTTATCTATTGGTATCAACCTTTTTTACGTTTATGATAGCAGCATGTTTCTAATACTGTTCAATTGTTGGTTTTTTTTTTTTCAATGTACCCTAAATAGACAAAAATGGAGCAAGAGATGGGGGACGGGAAAGTGATAAATTGAGGTCATACGAGTACGTGGGAAGGGCTGGTTCCATAATTCCGACAGCTTTCTTGGCCGGATCCCAAGTCAGTGTCGCTGAGATTCGATCAGCTGCATCCATTCCTCACTCTGACCCCTATCCTCCATCTCTCCATGGGGCCTTGGTCAGCCCACCTCCCCCGCAATCCCCTTCCCAACCCTACGGTGCGTGCACCACTCATTCTGCTTTGCTTTGTTTCTTACTGCCTCTATCTAGAAACGTCGTCGTGGTTACTAGTTAAGAATCATTTCAATTTTCAGAAAAGAGGATTTTTTTTCTTGTTTTACGGTCTAGAAATGTGATCGCCATAAAGTTTATTAGTATGTCCATCTGGCTACCATATTATTTCGCTAATGTGGAAATGGTGGGATTATTTTGTAAATTCATGAGGTTTTCTTCGTTTCTTTCCATCTCCATGTGTGTTTCCCCATGTATGTACGTTTCTGGGGTGTTAATAGTGTCTCTGTTGTTGCAGCTCAAGATATTATTTACCAGGGTGGATGCTACGGAGATACAAGAGAAATTGATCATGAAGCAAGAAGGCAAGAGTGCAATATTATGTCATTTGATAGTGTGTTATTGTTAAAGTTGTGCCTTTGGGGGTTTATCTGCTTAAAAAGGCAAAAGAATCCTTGAAACAGCTGAAGATTGAAATAATAGCTAATAGCTAGACATGAATCCATTTGATTTGTAATGGCATAATAGGATGCAAGCCACATGCCTACATCAGTGAACTTTTATTTTGTTTTCCATGATAGTGTATCTTTCTTGTATGCCTGCATTCATCTCGGTTTTGAAATATCACTTCTGAAATTGTATTGAATTTCATGTATTGAGGGAAGTAAATGGAGGGACCAGAACCAATCTGATCTGGGCTTAAGCTTTTATGAGCCTATCTTAGAACATAATCCTTTTTCTGCTGGAAGGAGTTCATTGTGTTTACAGAGTGTAACCTGTATATACTGACATGTATTTTTTTTTCTTTTGTGCTTGTTGATATCAAGATCATTGCCAAATAATTCCTCTCTCCCTGCTGGCTTCTGAAAACAAAAGCTAACAGATAG